TTGAAGTATTAGTATGAGTTTTAAAGACCTGAATTTATGCAAATTTCAGCTTTTTATAGTTAAAACAAGAATTTTTCTGTTGATCCACAAAGACTTCAGATATGTGCTCACTGAATAAGCCTTTTGTGAATGAAATCTGGAACACAGTTCTTTAAATTGATGTGAACATAAACATAACATGAATTTTCCATACTAAATTGCTATACCTCGTGATTCGGGGCAAGCTTTTACTTAATTACATAAGAGACATCTTGCACCAATACACTGTTTTCATTGGATAAGAAGGGCACAAAGGAACTAGTCAATTCCAGAGATGGTTGCTATGCAAAAGCTTGCCCCAAATCACGAGGCATAGCAACAGTGTCTTTAGTCTGGGGAATTCAAAATGATCTGTCTATGTGTAATCAGTATACCAGATTTTATTTAAATTTAACTCCCAAAAAGCTTTTTGGATGAAAGGGACAATATTTGGTATTTCTCTCGTCATAAGAGGCTAAGCCTTGAACCTCTGTTTTTTAACCACTAGTTTTTTGTCAAATACATTTCAAATATTTCCCTCTAGTTTCCGTCTTTTCCTTCAGTTTCCCCAATCTTTCCCCTTCATTTCCCTGATTTTTATTTCTGGATGAATGTCTTTCTTTAGGAAACAAATACATGTTAATGTGATTCAAAGGTCTGATTATATTCAACAACATGTACTTTCTTTGTGGGAGATGGTATTAGTTTTCTACCAGGAGCCTAACTCAAATTGTGCAAGATTTAGTTACATCCGTAGATACCAGAGGAAGGGTGTTTCTTTTTTTTCACAACTTTGCCTTTGTGGATAGCCTTAAAAGAGGTTGCCATGTAAATGTCATTTAAATAAGTCAGGGGGTTTAGGGCTTACTTGTTAGAGTCTTCTTCAGATTTATCAATCTGTTTGCCCAGTGGTTGAGGCTTTGGTGCAGATATGTGTGTATGTGCTTTCAATTTACATTTATTAGCAAATATCCTTTTATAATCGAGCTCGGCAGAGGGTTAAATATGACAAAGTGTTACTTTATTAAATGTCTAAGTGTAGACTAACTTTTGCATTTGAAACAAGGTTCCCATTAACAATTCTTTAGAAATTCTGAAGCACATTTTAAGTTGAGATATGAAATGGATCTGATCTTGTTCCCTGTTTCAGTCACAATTGTTCTGCATTGATCTTTTGATTGCTTTAACAAGATCATGTACAAGAACCCATGCAGGCTTTTGTATAATAATCATGTTAAAAGTATTGTGTACTTTATTGTCTTCAAAAAAAACCCCCTAAATTCTACAAATCATCAGATTTCATTAACCATTTTCTAGGGGCCATGAGGGCACACCATAGCGGTACATCAACCTCCTGATTTGCACTTCAAGTGCTGGTCCAAAATAAAAGAAATACCCAAAATATGACCTCTGTGTAAGCAAACACCGTTGACCCCCTGGGGTGAGATTTGGGCACCTATTTTAGCAATTTCGGAAGCCTTTGTGTTTGGAATGTAATTAAGCAGCAGGAGGTGGGACTAGGATCTGAATGGACAGCCTTGACTATTACTGCTCTTTGTACAATGACTTCTACCTACGCCAGTCCAAACTCAAAGTTAACTCTGCCACTTTTTGAACAAGCTTTTAAAGTTCCTTGCACTATTTTGTGTCATAAAACCAGGGATTTTAATCGGATGTGTTTAAATAGGATTATAAGTGGACTACGTCATGGTGCATTACTTGTGAAACCTGTTTCCAATTCCAAAATTAAAACGTTGCGTGCCAGTTTAATTTTGACAAAGAACACGCATCAACAGTTTGAGGATTTAGCCTACTCAGTCTGAAAGTGATTTCTTTTTATTCAGTTTCATGTTTCGAGGCAAATCCTGTGAAGCCATTGAGGATCAGTCATTTTCACCTTGAGGTGAAAATGTGGATCATCTTAATGAGATGAACTTCCCAAATGAGCATCTTCTTGATCCAAAGAAATCACGTTTTCAACTGTGATCCCATTAAATCCCCCCCAGGAGTGCCAGTATCTATTTGAACTAATCAGTATGTGTTCTTGACTAAGTCAGTTGGTCTGAATAGCCATGGGGGCCAATTTCATAGAGCTGCTTTAGCACAAAATTTGCTTAAGCGTGAAAAACCTTGCTTAAAAAAAAAACTAAAGGTTTCCAGCTCAAACTCTATATGATTGTCATGCTAACCAAAAGACAACTAAATACGATCCCAAAACAATCTACATCACATGGAGTTTTGGCTGGTTACCTAATTTATCAAGCAAGTTTTTCTTGTGCTTGAGCAAATGTTGTGCTTAAGCAGCTCTGGTTTGGGCAGTAGTAGCTATTTTGACTCCAAATCTGAGCATGGATGATGTCACCAGGAGTTTTACAGGGGGGATGGAGAGGGAATCACTTTTTTCAGGGGGATCATTTTGTGGAGGAGAGGGGTAAAAAATGGTAAGCAATTTGTCGCTGGAGGGGTCCATTTTGGGGTTTTATCCAGCAAAGTAGTGATTTTCATCCTCTTTCAGCTCTTTTTTCATTTCCTTTGCTTTTTCCAACCCTCTTTTTGTCTTTAGTCTTGTTCGATTTTTTTCCTGGGAATTCAAGCCCCCCCCCATGCGCACGAATCGGAGATTTTGCTGACATTGAAACATAGGGCATGTGATTCCCAACTCTAAAAGCAGTGGAACTGTTGGGAATGAAAAGGCTGTATTTATTAGGCCCCAAGCACTCTACAAGGGGAGTAAGGGTGAGGCTGACCTCAGGAGTTATTCCATTACAACAATGAAAACTGACAACCAAGATGATGTGATCCTGCATCATCTGTTGATTATTCAGTTTTGAATAGCTTGCACCACTTGTGCATAATTTCTAGACGTTCTTGATGTTGACTTGCTTATCAAAAATAAAAAGCATTGAATTGCTTTGGCCCATCTTCAAGCTTTAATCCTAGATAAATAAGTGTTGATGTACGTGTACCAATTAAAAGCCTTTGAACTAGGCCAGGAGGTATTGAGCCCTGTACTCAGTCAAGTTTGATAAATGTACCAGACCTTGACATCTGTGTGATCCTTTTTTCTTCCAAACCTAGTGCATTTTCTACCTGACTTGATGCCCCTGGGGGTCCTGTGTAGTATAATTGTGATGACGCACCGTAAATTGGCCTTGCATGATGACCTTAGATCTTGTAATTTGCATTCAGGTCACACATTTGGTTATTAGCACACACGAGGCTTGCATTACAATGCATTACAATGACATAACTAAGGCTTCCCAGAATCTTTTGGGTCTATACAGTGGAGTGGCTTTCCCAGATCTTTTGAGACCAGAAGAGGTGTGATTTGGATACATCTTTAGGTCTGCTGTAATTTTTACTAAATGTAAAGTAGTGCCTTACTGGTGTCATGTTTTAATTTTAGTTTTGATCAAACGTGTAATCAGTGCTTTGATTTAATTGGACTTGATTGTGATTTTGATTTAATAATATTGGAACTTGTTTTACATTTTTTGGCATTCTGTGATCAGGTGTTAATATAAGGGGACATATACATGTACATGCAAGTCTTAGCCACATGTATTTAACTTCCAGAGATCAATGGCCTCCGAAAAAGAATCCGAATCCCCACTTCTTTAAATGTTGGTATAGGAAATTTAGGTTTGTGTAATTAGCTTAAATGGGTCAGACATAGGGGGGTTGTTCAGGTACCACTTCCGTCCCCTATGTCTTCCCTATACATGTACCGGTAGTCCTCCAATTTGCATGATAAGTCAATTTCCTCTTGAGTTTTCTCCTCCTAAAATCTCTTAGTCTCAAAGTGCATTCAGAAATATTTCATGTTTATTTGTGCTCAAGTTCATTTGTCTATAATTAATGCGATTTGTTTATTCTGGATCTATGTCACCGATCTGTTGGGGCTAGTCACCTCATGTATCTCAAGGTTTCTCTGTCACTGATAATTTTTGGAGTCATTCTTGACCAATCATTCTACTATGTGAAGTATGCAAGCGTGTTGACGATGAACACATTGTATGCATTGCCTCATCATGTATCGATTGATTGATGAGAAAATGTTAATGTATGCTGTGGAAAAATAAATCTTGTGATCAAAATTCTCAGTCATTAAATGTCAAATTCATAATATCCATTAACGTGAGTGATGCCAGGTAATTTATGCCAATGTCTTCATCTTCAGATTCTATCAATCTTATAGAATCATAATACTGCATCCTGTGAAAATACCAAGTGCACATATTTTTTCAAATTACTAATCAACCCTGATGTGGATGATTTCATATTTTGTGTACTTGTGAAAATATTCACCGTAAGGAGTTTTTCAAGAATACATACATGAACATGTACACATATACCACTTCTATTGTTACACCTTTAGCCCAATTGCTTTAGAATACCGCATTGAAAATATCAATTTATTTTCTTCAACGATGCATCAGATGTGATGCATACTTCAGCTTGTAAACATTGCAGTTTACCGTCTTCAGTGTCTTTGTGTGTCATCCTTGGTGACAATCAAAACAAATAAACTGGATCCAAATGTCTGAAATGGTGCCCTTCGAATTTGGAACATATAAGTTTCAAAACCTGGAGGTGAAGTTTCAATATGCATGAGTATCCTGGAAGGCTGGATGGACTGACTACACAAGTGATGAGACACTCATTGAATCAGGAAGTACTTAAAGATTCATCATCACCAAAGCGTGGCCTTGAGATCATGTATCAATTCCACAAGAGCTTTGTGATTCCAGATTTGGAGGGATTAATCCCACATCCACACCCCCATAGCCACTGATTTCCCCATTCAAGGGATTAACACAGGATGCAAACATCTGGTTAATCCCATTGTCCGGTGTGCATGCCAGTCACTACCATTCATTGGCTGCTTATGAGTCACCCCTGCCAGAATAATGGGAACTTCCAACCACTCAGGTGTTTTTAGTGCCTGTGTGGCGAATGTAGGCTGTCAGTGTACAGTGAATGGTCCAAGGTAGAGCATGTGATTGTGCTGGGGTGGCCGAATTACTGTTTCTTTTGTGGGATTTATGAAGTCTGGAGTCTGCTCACGTGCGGAGAGTTTCCTTTAGTTTGTGAGAGGCTTCAAGTTGTGCTTCAGGCACCAACTCCTCCGTGTTTACATTGAAAACTACTGATGTGGATTCAGTGAGATGCCCTGACAACTTGGAGTCTTTATAAAAGAGAAGAAGCGGCTTTGATTGACTGCTGCAGCACCCTCACTGATGGAGGAGTAAGATTTGGAGAAGAGTAAAATTGAAGGCTTTTGAGAGGAGAATGTGGCTGGGCTTGCCAAGCTCTGTGTGGGCCAGGATTGGAAATGTGTCAACCTTGCTAGTGCAGGACTGCTTTGGTTTTAAAGTGCGTGCTTTAGCTAATTGAATCCCAGTAACTGCCTTCTGTGGAGTTCTTTGATGATCATTTCTGGGATACTGCATTCTTTCCTAGGCAGTAGTTAATGATGTTGATTTAAGAAGTACTTCCATGAGGGCCAAGGAATCATCATCCAGTCTACATATTTTGGGACAAATTGAAATAGAATGAATATCTGTAACATCTGAGATTTTGATGACCTGATTTTGCATCAGAAGACAACTGGACAGTTCTTCTGAAACTTCAACATTTCAGTGAGTCAAGTTTGATCGCTGTTTGGTCTATTTTGTCTGGAATTACCACTGAAGAGCTGATGCATTTGAAGGAATTGTAGGAAAAGGTTTCAACGAGGAAATTGAAGGGCTGTCCAGGAGACAAGATGAGTGTAGCCAACTCATTTCTTTTGGATAGATACTTGGAGGAGCTGAAACACAACATGGGCAACAGCAGCAAAGGTAAAATAAAACAGAAAGATTGGTTTCTCAACATCAGGCTCTCATGCCCTGAAATCGTTTTTGTTCTCTATGCAGCTTTAGGTGTGGCCAGGATAACTTGATGTAAGAAGGAACTCCTTGGCCATTATTACCTAACTGCATTAGTACACTGATTCATAAATATTTCTCTGTTTATGAAGAGAATTGTCTGGACATGAGCCTACTCTCTTCTGAGTTCATGGATTTTCTCTACATATCACTGGTTTACATTGGATAGTTTTTCCCATTTTTTAGAGATAAATATACAAGTATGTATAACTTCTTGTTTACTTGTTTAAAACCAAGATCTTCTAGAATCGCATATTTGTGACTCGTATTTTGCCTTGAGTCTTCCTCACCTTAACACAGTTCCCTTATTTATTTTCTTGATCATTTTGTTGGCAGTGTCTTAACATTTGAGTTAAGATTTTTCAAGAGGAAAGTTCAAGTGAAATTTTTTTTCAGAGTGAGTCAATTCTATAAAACTACTTTTTCTTTTGATAGGGGGTGCAAATGTATAAGTTTGCACATATTCAATCTCAGCCATAGTTTTTTTTTTCAGAAACCTTCATGAATCTCTCAAGGTTCCCAAATGCAGCAAAAACCTGTACAGGAAAGGAGATGCACATTGTTAAGTACAAACACAAACCCATTGTGATGTGGCATGTCCACTGACTGAATCTTTGGGAGAAATCACCCCAACTCAGAACTTGGATTGTAGAGGATTTAGGGTGGTTAGCCATTGAAATACATTCCTGCTTACTCCCAATAGACTTGAAACAAATCCCCCTAAGCATAATTCCACTGTGCTAATTGCTTTAGATAGAATTATAAAGATTTGTGAAATAAATGGTGGAGTTGAAACTTGTAACTCACTTATTTAGAAAAAGCTGCCTGTCCTGAACAACTTAAGCCTGTGCTTAGGACAGGTGGCAGGTTAGAGTTTGTGATAGCCACTCAGCACGAGCGCCACATCATCAGACATATGGGGACTAATTAATCCAACATCCTGGGCGATTCATGCAGATCCCTATGAGGCGGCTCAAATAATGAGTCAATACTACCATCCTATATGCGTGGTTGTTATGTAATAATTATTGATTTGCACTTGTTGTATACTAAGTGAAGTCAGTGATGTACATGTACTTTAACCCTACACGCACATGTACATGTGTGGTCGTGTGTGTCTGAGTGATTTGTCTTTGAGAGGTTGATTGCAGAATATGAAAAATACAGAAAAATATAATCAAAATAACATAATGTACTTAACAATGTTAATAATCTGTTTTATATTTATCTGATAGGTTTGTCAAAAATTCATGCTGAAGTTCATTGCAGTAGAAACAATTTATAAGCAAAATAAAACCAAAAAGGATGTCATTGTCTAATGTTCAACTTCAACATCAAAACAGAAAGTAATTGACAATTCTGTTGAAACTACCATAAAAATAAATTGTTATTGATAAGATAGTTATGAATGCAGTGAGATCTTGGGAATAAGTCTTCATCAAAATGATTGCTTGACCAGAAAGTTCTCCACAAGAATATTTCTTTGGATATTCAATAGATGTCCCCAGAATTAAACCATTTTGGGCAAAGACTTTTTTCTCTGGCTGTGATAAGTCATGAGTCGTGAGTCACGACTCTGTCCTCACCCCATGACACAATTTCTGGCAGATTCTCTCCCTGATGGCCGGTCAGTCCTGCACTCCTTCACCCTGTCTGGAATTGGATTGACCCAGTCATGGATGAAAAACGAAGACTGAACATAGATGAAGCCTCCAAGAACTAATCGTGATTATTTCAACTGAATTGTTGCAGTTCTGTACCCTTGACATTTTGCTTGCATGATGGCCACAATATTTTACTGTGCAAAGTCTCCCCTTTTCAAAGGTTAAGCTACTGTAAATGTTTTATTCCATTTGTTTCTTCGGATATATCATTAATTGTATTTATTATTTGTCGCACATTTTGGAAAGAGACCCTCTAAATTCACCTGAACCAATAGTTTGCATATTCTTTGTAATTTGGACATGTATCAGACGTCATCCAAATCAGCCTGGGACCACGAAAGGGAATTTTTTGTGGGCGGGGAAACACAGGAATTGGGATAAACATAAAATTTATGCTGTTTTTGAAATGGCTTCGTATTTATTGTTATTTTGAAATGCTTCACGTGAACTAAATGTTTTCTATTTCTGTAACCCTATAAAATAGAAATTATTTGTGGTTGGAAATTTCAGTGCCAAATTTACAAAACACATCAAAATTATGTGTGCTGAATTTTGCTGGTGGGTGGGGTTAAACTTGACAGGAAAAAAAAAACACACACAGAAAAATGAGAGAATAATGTTTAGGTACAATTCAGAAGCTTCTAGTTAGGAAACCTTTTGACATCTCAATAACACTTCCCTTCTCAAAAAAAAAAGAGCACCCTGTTCATTATTTACTCGATCTCTGCTCTTCTTATCCAACCCTGATGTTTGTTTCACCACTTTTTCTGTCCTTTCTCCTGTCACAACATTCCAGTTAAGACCATTGCAGACTTAGTGTGATTTATGTCACCTCTGACTGTTTGAGTTTTCTGTCTGGCCCCTCCATAAATTGACTTGACCCAGGGTTAGACATAAAACTGAAGGGAAATTGAGGTTAAATGGCGATATTTGGCTGGACCCAAGAGCTTACAAACTACAGGATAATTTTGATGTCTTTCTTTTCTCAAAATTGTTTCCCTTTCAAAAGTGTAGTTTCTAGTTCATGTTTTTGTGATTTGAATTTAAGTGATCGCTTTTATGATTTCAATGGCATACATTGAATTGTGCTTTTTCCCCTTATTAAGCCAACTGAGTCTTAACCAGCTTTAAACGTGTAGATTTGATTTTTCAAGCTGTTCCCTGAATGTGAACAAATGTCACCCTTCTGTGACATTAAACTTACTGAGAAATAAGATAAAAATCCTGCTTTAGATTTGAGCTGAAATCACAGTGGTTTTACATTTCCGATCGTCAGTGGTCAAATTAATTGTAATTGTTCACTGCTACATTTGCCTTTTGCTTTTCACAACTGGACTTTGTACCCTTGTTCTTTGAGCTAGTTGACACCCTGCAAGCATCTATCAGATTTACTCCAAGCAGCAAGAGGTTTGTTTGCCCAGTTTCTGGGCTATCCCTCTAGCAGCTCGGCAAGCAGGGATGTAGCCATGTAGACCTGTGTGTATTAACCCAGCAATCCTTACTGATCTCCTGTCGGCTTGCTTTGACTGTGACGGGCGGGTGTGTTTACCCACCTCCCCCCCAAGATCTGATACAAAAGAGACCATATCTGTAGAAGCTTTCCTCTGTTTTGTATGCAGGTGCTTGCCAACACACTTAATAATCTTTGTCCACACACTGTACATACCTCCTCCTAAGTAACAGTGATCATTGCCTGTCGCATGTTGGGAGCCAACAACACATTCTATTCAAGAGAAGCTGTTGCCTGTATCACTAATGGTCTGCTACACACTGTAGTATGCATTTGCAGGAAGTCACAAAATTAAAGTAAGATTATGTGGGAAAAATTTAAACAGCCAATCCCCAAAGAAGTTGTGATTTTGGGGCCCTGTGCTTTGGATAGTTTATCCTTTAGAAGCCTTTTAAATCATTATATATTTCAGAACTGTGTGTTAATTTTGGTTCCTTCTTTGCAGAAAAAAATTGTAAATTATTTTTTGAATTTCTCACTTTAAAAGTAAGAATAATTTAAAATAAGGGAATAAATTATGTACTTGGCTGGTGTGCATTTAAGACCAGCTCAGGAGAATGGACGTGACTAATGCCTAAGCCGCAGGTGAGGGCTTTATCAGCATTTGTTCTCCTGAATAAGGTCTTAAATGTTAGTTTAAGACTGGCCAAGCACATATTTATTCCCATTCATGAATACCCTTTTATTCAGAGATTCAAAAGAAGTCAACATATGATGAATTTTTTCTTTTCATTTTCTGGAACACCCCCATTCATTTTATGGTATAGTCCTTTTGAAAATTGTCCAATAGAATTGCCTTCAATGAAGTTGGCGTGCGCGTGGCATGTAGCGTGCACACAGACTCCTGACCAATCAGACCCGATTAAACTGTCCCGTATCCAGGTGCCAGCACGGGATTTACGCAGCGGACATTATCACTTCTCAGCGGGCATTATCAAATGTTAATACACAGTCAAGTGATGCATTTCAACCAATACAAATAGAAAAACTGTGTGAAGTATCTCTGGATGAGGTCCATCTGAAAATATGTCAACCTGAATTGGAACCTGCCCTTTGACTATTTTTTCCTTTGCCTGTTTTGTTAAAATCACAGATTGCCTTAATCCTTGCAAACCGACTGCGGAAGCTTGTTTCTTGTCCAAAACCTCTCACATTCCAAAGTAAAACCCCACAATGAATAGTCAACTTTCCTGACTTTCATATCCCAGCAGCATCCCAGTTGCTGGTTGTGCACAAACCTTGCTCTAAAAGTTCAGCTCTTGAGAAGACTTGGTTTTGCAGCTTTTATTGCTGTTGCATAGGCAAGTCTTTTGTACATGCACCACTGTGGAATGTGGTTGGACATTGCTTGAATAGTGCAAGTGAGATCACCACTCACTTCTCTTTTTGACTCTCTGATCATTGTAAATTCTCTTTCCAAACAACATAAGTTGTAATGAAATACAACCCAATAGCAGGAAAACAACTAGCGTAAACATAGTGTTCATTTGGGGGAAAAACAGTTGGTACACATAATTTTTGTCTGGCTTTTTGAAATCACTGTACGTTGTGCTCTGCCATGGTACTAGTTCTACTGATAGGAGAACATTTTAGCTTGGCACCCTCACTTTTTTGTGGTGTGTGTTGTGCCTGTGTACTTTGCTTAAGTTAAAAACAACCATCTCCTGTCAAACAGCAGTCAAATCAAGAGTATCCTGGGTCTTTGCTAGGTGCTTTGCTCTGAAATCATGCTTACTGTT